CTCTCTCTCTCTCTCTCTCTTTCTCCCTCTCATAGACCAATCTTTTTTACCCATTTATCTGTCAGTCAGACTCCTAAGCAATCTCCCAATCCATCAAATACTTTCTACCAATCTATAGATCCCATCTGTCAACAGGTGTCACTTATCTTTCCTTCTCTAGACAAGAAAGATAGACATATTTCATTGTTTTTTCTTTCTTTCTTTCTTTTTACTTTATTTCTGGTTTCCAGTTTTCTTTTAGTTGGCATCTGGTTGACTGGAGAGTGATTGTAAATTGTGCTTCTTAATTTTATTTCATCTGCCTATGTATGTATATTTCATCTTTTCATTTTAATAGTAGCTTAATGATTCGTCTATCCGTTAATGTTTAATCTAAATTTTCTGATCTTAATACATGTAGATTTTAGTGCTGTATATAAGAAATAACTTTAAAATCATTATAAAATCGAAGGAAGTACGAATATAAATAAAGTATATTGCAAACACAGGTACCCTCTACACAAATCATCACAATTCGTGATAAAGATTGAAAGAAGAGACAAAATACCAAGCCCATGTATAAACTTGAATATATTCTTTTTTCTTTTTTTATCAAAGCATAATACAATGAAATACGGAGACTAGAAAAAAGTAGCTGAATTAACACTATTCTCACACCAGACATCAACAGAACTCAACGCGTATTTCTAGCTCAAGACCAGTTTGTCTTTTGAAATCTGGGTGTTTGTTCCGTAGACTTTTGCCGTATCGTGGCTCCTTGTAGGAAATGCAAAAATGGTTCACATTTAACGGTTAAAATCTGTGCTCACCAGGGCTCGAACCTGGGACCTTCTGTGTGTTAGACAGATGTGATAACCACTACACCATGAGCACATATATGTAGTATCATTCCCTATGCTACAATAGTATAATCTCTAACCCTTAAAGTTTAATAAGTAAGATGTGTATGTGTGTGAGTATGTGTGTGTGTGTGTGTGTGTGTGAGCATGTGTGTGTGTGTGTGAGTATGTGTGTGTGTGTGTGTGTATGTGAGTATGTGTGTGTGTGTGTGTGTGTCAACTTGAGCTCATAAACTCGAGACGTTGATTAGCTTAAACTGCTTATGTATCTATGAAGCTTCTGGAAAAAATATTCTCTTTCTTCTTGTACTGTGGAAAGATAAAGCGTTATCATAGTGTAGTGGTTATCACGTCTGCTTTACACGCAGAAGGTCCCAGGTTCGAGCCCTGGTGGGAGCAAGTAAATAAGTTGATGCAATATTTTGGCGCCCTCTTCGCCTGTGATGGACAGATGAATAGATGAATACACACATAAACACAAACACACACATACAAACACACACACACACACACACACACACACACATACACACACACACACACACACAACACACACACACACACACAAACAAACATACATACATATATATATATATATATATATATATATATATATATATATATATATATATATAAATTATTACAAGACACCCAACGATCTCGCATTACTTACGCATCTGTATGTACTTCACTGGTAAAAAATCCTGTATTCGTCAGGGCTTGACTCTAGTAAATAGCAATTCGATAATGCAGATAATAATGACGCAAAACTAATTGCTATTATTATAATTTCTATCATCAGCAGCAATAGCAATCTCTTGCTATCATTGCCTTTATCCGGATGATGTTAGGAAGAATAATATTATTTTTTACTGTCAATTTTGCCTTTGTTATCATTGCTGATATTAGCATCATAATCATGAAAAAATGTGAAATAAATACGGGATTACAAACAGTGAATAAAATGTAATCAAGTATATTAGATTAAATGAACAAACGAATCAAATCACAAAACAAATATTAATACAAATAAATAAACAAAGATCAGATCAGAAAAAGTCGAAGTCATACGAAAAAAAAATAAAAAATCCTCACCATAAACATATTACATCTTATTCCCTTTTATTCCACACAGTATCAAGAAATCACGGCGGTTAATAAAGTTAATTGAAGTATTACTCCCCCCTCCCCCCCCGAGCCAAGAATTAATGGAAAACCACCAAGAAATCACGAGAGATTAACAACCAATACATGTGTTGATCGTGTGTCTATTTATAACTCGGGAGAAGCGTGTGGTTGTTCCAGTGTGTATTGCTGTTAATATTATAGAGTAGGTGTTAGTATTATTGATATTAGTACCGTGTGCCGTAGGGTAATTATTGTTATTAATATTATTATTAGCATGAGGTATTTGTGTTATTATTATCACCGTTTTGATTATCATTGTCTTTGTTATCATCATCTTTATCATTATCATAATCATCATTATCTTTATCGTTATCATTTTCATCATTATTACTATTGTCATTATCACCATCATTATCAATCATTACCATTATCATCACTACAGTTGTCATAATGACCATCATTATAACCCACATCATTGTCATTATCATCTTCTTCACCATCTTCATCATCATCACCATCTCCATCATCATCATCATATTCACCATCATCATCATCATCACCATCTTCATCATCATCATCCCCTTCATTATAACAACCACCATCATTATCACCATTATTAAGAAAGTTGCCATTTAAGTGCACGTAGTTACTTAACCAACATCATAACATTTTTTTTTTTTTTTTTTTTTTATCATCGGATGTTATAAACCTTACTCTTATCTTCAAGGTCGGATGCTGCTGTTGATACTTGTCCCGTTGCGTGGGATGAAGTGATGGCGAGATGACCTTCGATCCGAGATGATGAGTGTCAGAAGTGTTTACTTAGCAGTCGTGGAACGTGTATCTAACATGTCTATTTTTTTTTTTTTTTTTTTTTTTTTTTTTTTTTTTTTTTTTTGAGATCTCGGTAATTAGGGTAAACTGACGGTTGGGAAGCTGAATGCGATTTTTTTTCTTCTTCAACAATTGTCATTATCCAAAATCGGAAACAAATATCCAAAAAATCCAAAATAAACAATAATAAAAGTGAAGAGAAATAAATAAATGTTTTAACTCTTCTCTGGGCATGAAAGCAGTCCCTCAACGTGCGTGGGTTTGCCTCAAAGACCGTATGAGAGCTGGTAATCACGAGGCAAATTGGCTGTTTGTGTGCCTAGTGTTGAGGCGGATCCCAGGTAGGGGTTTATATAGTCCTGCCGTTCTAGCGCTTTTCCGCTAGATCTAGAGTTTTTGAGTTATCGAGCGGGGAAAATTTGAAAGAGTGTTTGTTATGTATAGCGATTTTTAAAACCCTTTTAGCGGGTATATTTTGAAAAAACGTTCAAGTTATATATAGTGATTATTAAGTCCTTTTAGTGGTAGATTTTTGAAAAAGTCTAAGCTATATATAGCGTTTTTTAAGTCATTTTAACGGGAAAATTAGTAGCTTTTACTCCTATGTCTAGCGGGTTTTACAATCCAGCCTAGCGGTTTTGTGGAAATACCAATGGCAACACTGAGATCTGGATTTGTGAAATATCAGTGACAACACTGACTTTATGCTGGAAATACCAATGGCAACACTGAGATCTGGATTTGTGAGCGACAAGAGACACTAAAAGATACTTATCATTGACATTATAGATTATGTTTACTTGAAAATGAAGTTGTACTTGAATATAGTTTGCTGTTTATTTATTTATTTTGTTTTCTATGATTTTGAAAGGTCATTGCTTCTGGGAATTCATTCATTTGATTATTTTTTGTATAATATTTAATATCACTTATGCTCGTGACGTCATAAGAAATACTTACTCATTTTATCGTTATTATTATTATCATCTTTAATCAACATTATTAAAATTATTATTGTTATCATTATCATTGTTATATTTATTATCATTACTATTTTAACCATTGATATTATTAACATTATTATTATTATCATTATCACTATTGTTATCATTGTTATAATTATTATCATTACTATTTTAACCATTACTGTTATTAACATTATCATTATCATTATCCCTTTCGTTATTTTTATCATTATCATCATTATCAATCATTATTATCATCATAATTATTTTCATCATTGTTATTATCATTGTCATTAATCATTATCATTATCATTATCATTACCGTTAGCATTATTATCACCATTATTAGTATCATTATTTTCACTATCAATATGTTAGAAATATCAACATGATCATAATTACCTTTATTACTGTCATTACCATTACTCATATTCCTCAGCATACCTATAGAACCATTAGTGTATAATATATACTATTCTATGTGTCGACATATAAGGCTAAATGCTTTACTTGTCATTAACGAATTTAAGGATACGCGTTGCACATTTCCATCCCTCATTAACAACCTTATTATTACAATTAACATCCAACATTAACATAAAGGAGAAGCTGTGATGTTTTAATGAATAGTTAAGGACAACATAACGAGCTGAAAGTTCCAACATTTCCCACAGGACGAACGGTATTCATGTCGGTAAATGTAGAAAAGGTATGAATGAGAATATCTTCACAATACAAGAGATGTATTGTGAAGATATTCATTCTCATTCATACCTTTTCTACATTTCCAACAAGATCAGATTCGCACAGGATGAGCACTTGCACCTTTTATGCATCTAAGAATACTTCACATGGAGAGAAGAATCAGGGATAGATTACATATGATGAAACCTGATTTTAAGAGCAAAAAAGGGGAAACTTTCCGCAAACTTGATATGTTGCCTCCATTATCTGTTGGCGAAATATCCAGGAATATATTATTTACGATTGTATGTCTTTTAAAATGCGAATACGTAGAATTTATTGCATATGTGCTGGAGGATGCTAAAAAAAACCGTTCGTAATTTGTAATAAGATACATTTTTGACGGTTAAAAGTCTGTGCTCACCAGGGCTCGAACCTGGGACCTTCTGTGTGTTAGACAGATGTGATAACCACTACACCATGAGCACTTGTATTCTTACTTGAAATATTATTTCCTGAAGACTTTTCATGTTTTCCATCAATGTTATAGTCACAAGGTATGGTATTAATGGTAATAATGGTAATAAAGCAACAAATATTAAAGACAACTATAACAGTACTTATGTGATGGTAAATGTTATTACTCTCCTTACTGCTATTATCTTTATCATTGTTATTCTTATTATTATACTTGTTTCTCATTATTATTATATTATTGCTATAATTGTTATTTCATAATTGTTAATACTATTTTTTGTCCACGATAATGATAACGATTTTTGCTGTCATTACTGTTATCTTAATATGATTATGATCATATATTTATCATCATAAACAATCATAAAAATGCCAAGAATTGCTAAACCTTTATCATGCATAAGACCTGATAAAACAGGGAATTAAATCAGCATATAAATAAATGTTTATATCCATCTTAGAGCAAAAAATATAAATGAAAATAACATCACAAAATTAAACGACAAATTACAGAAATATGAAATATAAAATGTAATACATATCCTTTCAAATATCAGAACAATATCAAATATCAGTCAAAAAAAAAAAAAAAAAAAAAAAAAAAAGACAGTAAAAAGCAATTGGTGTATAACTGCCCTCACACCAAGCACTAAGGGATGGAAGTGACTACTGGTACGGCAGAAAAAGAAGTGACTACAGGTACGGCAGAAAAAGAAGTGACTACAGGTACGGCAGAAAAAGAAGTGACTACAGGTACGGCAGAAAAAGAAGTGACTACTGGTACGGCAGAAAAAGAAGTGACTACTGGTACGACAGAAAAAGAAGTGACTACTGGTACGGCAGAAAAAGACGTGACTATAGGTACGGCAGAAAAAAGTGACTACAGATACAGCATAAAAAGAAGTGACTACTGGTACGGCAGAAAAAAGTGACTAGGTACTGACTACAGGTACGGCAGAAAAAGAAGTGACTACTGGTACGACAGAAAAAGTGACTTCTGGTACGGCAGAAAAAGTGACTACTGGTACGACAGAAAAAGAAGTGACTACTGGTACGACAGAAAAAGAAGTGACTACTGGTACGACAGATAAAGAAGTGACTTCTGGTACGGCAGAAAAATAATTAACTACAAGTGCGGCAGAAAAAGAATTGACTACTGGTACGACAGATAAAGAAGTGACACGGCAGAAAAAAAGTGACTACAAGTGCGGCAGAAAAAGAAGTGACTACAGGTGCGGCAGAAAAAGAAGTGACTGCTGGTACAGCAGAAAAAGAAGTGACCACTGATACGTCAGAAAAAGTCACTACTGATACGGTAGAAAAAGAAGTGACTACTGGTACGGCAGAAAAAGAAGTGACTACAGGTACGGCAGAAAAATAAGTGACTACAGGTACGGCAGAAAAAGAAGCAACTACTGGTATAGCAGAAAAAGTGACTACTGGTACGGCAGAAAAAGAAGTGACTACTGGTACGACAGAAAAAAGGGTGACTACAGTACGGCAGAAAAAGAAGTAACTACTAGTATGCAGAAAAAGAAGTGACTACAAGTACGGCAGAAAAGAAGTGACTACAGGGCAGAAAAAAAAACTACTGGTATGGCAGAAAAAGTGACTACTGGTATGGCAGAAAAAGTGACTACTGGTACGGCAGAAAAAAGTGACTACAGGTACGGCAGAAAAAAGAGTGACTACAGGTACGGCAGAAAAAGAAGTAACTACTGGTACGGTAGAAAAAGAACTGACTACAGGTACGGCAAAAAAAAGAATTGACTACAGGCACGACAGAAAAGTGACTATTGGTACGGCAGAAAAAGAAGTGACTACTGGTTCGGCAAAAAAAAGAGTAAAACAAAATAAATAAATAAACAGCAAACTATATTCAAGTACAACTTCAGTTACAAGTAAACATAATCTATAATGTCAATGATAAGTTCAGCATAGCGTTCGATAAATGCAGAAACATATGACGTATCTTTTAGTGTCTCTTGTCGCTCACAAATCCAGATCTCAGTGTTGCCATTGGTATTTCCACAAAACCGCTAGGCTGGATTGTAAAACCCGCTAGACATAGGAGTCATTAACGAATTTAAGGATACGCGTTGCACATTTCCATCCCTCATTAACAACCTTATTATTACAATTAACATCCAACATTAACATAAAGGAGAAGCTGTGATGTTTTAGTGAATAGTTAAGGACAACATAACAAGCTGAAAGTTCCAACATTTCCAACAGGACGAACGGTATTTATGTTGGTAAATGTAGAAAAGGTATGAATGAGAATATCTTCACAATACAAGAGATGTATTGTGAAGATATTCATTCTCATTCATACCTTTTCTATATTTCCAACAAGATCAGATTCTCACAGGATGAGCACTTGCACCTTTTATGCATCTAAGAATACTTCACATGGAGAGAAGAATCAGGGATAGATTACATATGATGAAACCTGATTTTAAGAGCAAAAAAGGGGAAACTTTCCGCAAACTTGATATGTTACCTCCATTATCTGTTGGCGAAATATTCAGGAATATATTATTTACGATTGTATGTCTTTTAAAATGCGGATATGTCGTACGTAGACTTTATTGCAAATGTGTTGGAGGATGCTAAAAAAAACCGTTCGAATTTGTAAAAAGATACATTTTTGACGACTAAATACCTGTGCTCACCAGGGCTCGAACCTGGGACCTTCTGTGTGTTAGACAGATGTGATAGCCACTACACCATGAGCACTTGTATTCTTATTTAAAATATTATTTCCTTAAGAGTTTTCATGCTTTCCATCAATATTATAGTCACAAGGTATGATATTAATGGTAATAATGGTAATCAAGCAACAAATATTATAGACAACTATAACAGTACTTATGTGATGGTAAATGTTATTACTCTCCTTACTGTTATTATCTTTATCATTGTTATTCTTATTATTATACTTGTTTCTCATTATTATTATATTATTGCTATAATTGTTATTTCATAATTGTTAATACAATTTTTTGTCCACGATAATGATAACGATTTTTGCTGTCATTGCTGTTATCTTAATATGATTATGATCATATATTTATCATTATAAACATTCATAAAAATGCCAAGAATTGCTAAACCTTTATAATGCATAAGACCTGATAAAACAAGGAATTAAATCAGCATATAAATAAATGTTTATATCCATCATAGAGCAAAAAATATAAATGAAAATAAACTTCATCACAAAATCAAACGACGAATGACAGAAACATGAAATATAAAATGCAATACATATCCTTTCAGATATCAGAAAATCAAATATCAGTCAAAAAAAAAAAAAAAAAAAAAAAAAAAAAAAAATCAGTAAAAAGCAGTTGGTGTATAACTGCCCTCACACCAAGCACTAAGGGATGGAAGTGACTACTGGTACGGCAGAAAGAAGTGACTACAGGTACGGCAGAAAAAAGTGACTACAGTACGGCAAAAAGAAGTGACTACTGGTACGGCAGAAAAAGAAGTGACTACTGGTACGGCAGAAAAAAGTGACTACAGATACAGCACAGGTACGGCAGAAAAAGAAGTGACTATACGGTGACTACAGGTACAGAAAAAGTGACTACAGGTAAAGAAAAAAAGTGACTACAGGTACTACTACTGGTACGGCAGAAAAGAAGTGACTAAATGACTACAGGTACGGCAGAAAAAGAAGTGACTACTACGGCAGAAATGACTACTGGTACGACAGAAAAAGAATTGACTTCTGGTACGGCAGAAAAAGTGACTACTGGTACGGCAGAAAAAGACTACTGAAAAAAAAAAAAGTGACCACTGGTACGGCAGAAAAAGTGACTACAAGTGACTACAGATGCGGCAGCAAAAGAAGCGACTACTGGTACGGCAGAAAAAGAAGTGACTGCTGGTACAGCAGAAAAAGAAATGACTACTGATACGTCATAAAAAGTGACTACTGGTACGGTAGAAAAAGTAACTACTCAGAAAAGAAGTGACTACGGCAGAAAAAGAAGTCACTACAGGTACGGCAGAAAAAAGAAGTGACTACAGGTACGGCAGAAAAAGAAGCAACTACTGGTATGGCAGAAAAAGTGACTACTGGTACGGCAGAAAAAGAAGTGACTACTGGTACGGCAGAAAAAGAAGTGACTACAGGTACGGCAGAAAAAGAAGTAACTACTGGTACGGTAGAAAAAGAACTGACTACAGGTACGGCAAAAAAAAGAACTGACTACAGGCACGGCAGAAAAAGAAGTAACTACTGGTACGGCAGAAATAGAAGTGACTACTGGTACGGCAGAATAGCCCCCGACTACGGTCCTGCGTATGCGTGGTGAAAGAAAGATGGCGGCGTCTTGATACGAGAAATTATTACCACTCTCAATAAGGTCAGATTAGCCTCGTACCTGTTACCTGGAAATGACGTTACATGCACATACACACGTTTTCCGTAAGCCTAACCGCGAGACATCGGGTGTGGCTGCCGTACGCGTAACCTCGGCCTTATGGGAACCTAGTAACGTGCGTGGGTTTCGCAATCGACTCTTGGGACAGATAATCACCAATCTAGTCATCTGTGGGAGTGTGATTAGCTTAATTGAGGCGTGTGGTGGAGCTAGGGTCTATTACCATTAGTAGTAGTAATCGTAAAATCAGTATTATCAGGATCCTCTTTATTAGTAGCATCACTAATACTAATACCATCATGGCGTTAGTATTATCATTGTCGCTATATTAATCATCTTCATCGTTATCGTCTTGGTTATTATATTCGTCATTATCATCATCATCATCGGTATCATTATCATTTTCATTACCATCATCAGAATCACCGTCTTCACTTCATACTATTATCATTTTCATTTTCATCATCTTCATCTTCATCTTCATCTTCATCATCATTATCTCCATCGCCATCACCAATATAATTGTTATCAACATCATCATGGCTAAGAAGATTGGCAATCATAAGTAAGTAGTTTAATGAATCAACATATCAAGGACAATATAACATCAATTATATCGCAATCTAGTCATCGGTATGGAATTGGATGCTGCTTCTAACACACGTATTCTGTCTTT